CCCGAGTCAGAGTCGCCCCACGCGGCGGCCTCCCGCTCTCTGTCTGGTCCCAGAGCTGGCTCTGCACCGCGCAGCCCAGGGGACACTGAGGCGCCCTGCAGGCTGCTCCTGCCACATCTGCTGCGGCCTCCACCCTGGCCTTGCCACCAAGCAGGCGGTACCAGCCCTGCTGAGCTTTTGTCCCCAAGGGCATGGAGGGTGCTCATCTGGGGAAAGCCATCTTGGGAAGCAGCTCTTCTTGGTACAACGTGTCCTGCTCGAGACACTCTAGTGTCCCCATGGGACTGTGTGACCTCCCTGCTTCATATGGGGAAAGGGCTCAGCCATGTGCCCAGGCATCCTGGAGCTCTTTGGAGAACAGTGGAGAGACCCGAGTGCTCCTTACAAGGCCATTGTGAGGGTCAGACGAGGTAACGAGGACAGCTCTGCCGCGGCCAGGCGCTCTTGGGAGCGCACGGCTACACCAGACAACAGCCCGGAGCCTTTCCTAGGGGTCCACTGTCTTCTCGAGGTGGGGGAAAGGTTTCATATGAGTCTAGACTGGGTTCAAATCACCATGATGATGGGGGATGAGGCCTCCCATCTTGCTTCTCTGTCTTCCACTGCCGTTTTCTCCCAGCACACAAACCATCCCTGCCGCTTCCTTGCTGTTGTGCTAAATATAAAGGGCACTGGGCAGTTCTTCCAGTGCTGCCCAGAGCCGCTGGAGATGAAGGTGCTGTCCCCTGGGTGGCCGCACAGCGCTGCCTTCTCTGTGTGCGCCGAGGTTCGGGAGCCACCGTCAGCGTGGGAGAGGGGCAAGGAGACGGGTTGGTTCCAGCAGGGATTTGGGTTGGGTTAAAGAGGGCGTTGGTGACACAGGGCTCATGTAGAACCATTTGGGGACAGAGAGCCCTTCTCAAACCCATGTTCCCACACCTCATGTCATGAGGGGGATACCTCTCTCCTGTATCCTGCTGTCAGGGCTGCTTCCTTGGGGTTCCTTTGGGGACCTTTCCAGGTGCAGCAGGTTTCCAGGAGATTCCCACAGGCTCTGCAAACCACCCGGGACACCACCATTCCCAGGGCTGCCCATCCCGTGGGAGCCAGGAGGAGGGAAGGGAGCGTGCGATGCTCACCCGCAGCAACCAGGCGCTCTGCAGAAAAATGCACAAGCTATTTTATTTTATTTTATTTTATTTTATTTTATTTTATTTTATTTTATTTTATTTTAATCGCTTTAACGACTTTTCCCCCGCCGAGC